TGCGTCGTTTCATTTCCACAACGCGCTGGAAAATCTCGACAAGGTCACAAATGGCAGTCATCATTCGGGTACGGGTTTTCAATGCATACTGCACATGAAAACATCCAGCTCAAAATGCGCTTTATTTTACGTCCATAGCGTTGTAACACGTCACTCATGTAACTTGAAGAGGCCGATTTCATTCACTTCTTCTTTCTTTTTAAACTCGTTACACTTTTTTGTACAGAGACTGCGTATACCATCCCTACGGAGATGCAGAAGGGCAACGCCACCGAGGGCCAAGGTGGAGCCTCCCCTCCTCGTTTATCAAGAGGGCAAATGTAGCCCCTGGTGGCTAATTTGCATCTCTTCCCCTGTCCGTTCCCACAGGTCAGGCACAGCGTGCGAGATCCTATCCCTGAAGTCATCAATCTTGATCGTCTTCTCATGGCCCTGCCCGCCAGTTCACCTACAGCTGAATGCAGTTTTCGCGTGCGGCGGGACGTGAAAACTTGCTTTCCTTAATGGACGTAGTGGAGGATCAACACAGCGGCGGTGCGTTGTTCTCGCCTGGACCAGCAGGATTAGCGGTGTGTTGCCCTCACCTGGACCAGCTGGATCCAGTTCATGCCGCAGCCGCTTTCGTCAGTCAAAACGCATCAAGCAAACGAACGCTTCGCTGTGCTAATGACCACACCATAAATGGTGGTGGTGCAGACCCGGAATGAGTATGTGAATTCTGTGATCCTTAATCAGCGTGTCGCTCGGATGCGTTATCAACACTGCGATAAATGGTCATATTTTTCTCACTTGTTCTTGTTTTTATAAGCAAAGAAAAATCTGGAATCGGGCATACAAGCCATAGTGTAGCTGCGGGACAGAAATAAACGAAATATCAACCTACGAAACTTTTATCACCGTACAAACAAAAATTTATACACTGATACATTATATGGCCAACTAGTCTAGATGATAACGTTTTGTGCTGGGAAGAAGCTTCGACACGACGATAATATTTTTCCGCTGCCATGAAGTAACGGACGTCAGGCGGGCGAGGGAATGATAGCCCATCGACTCATTTCTTTCTAGTCAACTCTCAAGTGGCCAATGTTGTGGATCTCAGCCCCTGCCCCTATCCATGGTTCCCGCGCTCTATGCCTTACAGTGGTTGCAACTGAAGGCACATGTGAAGTTTGCATGCCAATGATCATTTAAGAGAACGCCAGCTGTGGCGATTCAAACTTAAAACATCTCAAAGCACGACTTAGAAAAACTCGTGATTTGTCATCCATTTCATTTTACTCAAGTGTCGTGATGGTCTTCGACATTGTCCCCTCCCCTATCAAATGTTGGTGGCGCCGCCCTGCGTTTGCGTCCTTCTCAGCGTTGAGAGCGGGAGTTCAGATGCCGCCCTGGTCACTGGCACCACCAGGGAGTGATACAGGCTGGAAGTCATATGATATCATAGTCAGGCCGGAAGTCATAAGATATCATAGTCAGGCCGGAAGTCAAGTCCGGCCCGAAGGTCAGACTCTAAAATGTCAGCCAAAGACCCTGTTGCACCGATCGGGGATCCCTAGGGAAATGCGGGTCCCTGTAACGTCAGCTGGCAGAGATCACCAGGACCGAACAGTGGACTCCGTGCCGGCCTGCGCACTGGGGCTGCTCTTCATGACAGGCAAGATCGACGCGTGGAAATGTTAATCAGAGGGCTTCCTGCATAAAGAGTAAAGGGTCTAATGTGCTCGTCAGAGTTCTCCTGGGGCCGAGATATTCCGCTCAGAGGGCCTGCCACAGCATGGAGGAAACCGGTTATGATGCATCCCTCTGAGGGTCTCTGTACCGACCAGGGGGCCACTGTCCTCCTATCACCAGAATTGCAGCTGCTAGAACGGAACTAGCAGTTACGGTAACACGGTTGCTGTAGCAACTGACCTTTGAGATGTAGACAACATGTAACAGCCGCACTACACGTACATGTACATAAAATGCAGATTACGTTACTACGTCATTAGTTTGTGGTGGTGTACGTGGCAGTGCGCCCCGAATATCAATATGGAAATCGCACAGGCGAGACCTACGGCCCAGGATGCCTCCTACACATTAACCAATTGACTTCATAAAGAGCCGCTGCTATTTACGTCATTCATGCATTTAATTCCCGCTTAATTGTTTTTGCTGTTGTTTTGTCTCTGAACACAGGCTGCATTGCATATTTTGATAGGTTTCAGCTTATCTGTGTCGACCAAAAAAGTGCAACATGGGCAAGGGAAATTGGTCTCTACCACGGCTGTGGACTTGCCTTGTTTTGTCATGGCCTTGTCCCCGCCCCTAATGTTGGCATGGGCCGTCAAACATTTCCTGAAACATTACAAAAGGATGAGAAAGGGTTGGCTCAGACAAAAAGACTATCTTCTTTTATCATAGTGTTTTTGTCGAATCTTCTTTTATCATTCGTCGTGATGCCATCGCCTTGGACAGTGGAGCCGGAAACACGACTCCGATCCGTCAAAATTAGTGCCTAAAATGAAGCATAGCCTTAGACTTGGGGTAAACTATGTTATGTTTGGCGGCTTTTTGTTTTATCCGTCGAACGTAAGCCGAGACACTGTTTCCCGCAAACTAAACGTGACATTGACATGTCACAGGTTAAGCACGGGCTCAAAGAACGGGGAACGCAATATCACCAAAAAATTATCGGCCGATTGTAAGCTTGGAAATGTCAGAATGCACGCCACATAAAGCACTAGCGTCCGTCAAAAAATCCTGACCTCTCAAGGTCATTCATCGAGGTCAAACGCAAGTTCAAAGGTCGGAGAACTAGATATCACCAAGAATTATCGGCCGATTTTTAACTTGCAAACATCAGGATATTTACCACAGAAAAACAGCGTCTGTCAGAAGGTCCTGACCTCTCAAGGTCACCCTTCAAGGTCAAACGCTGGCTCAAAGGACGGGAAACGCAGTCTCACCCAAAAAAATTCGGCCGACTTTAAACCCGCAAACGTCTGAATATTTGCCACAAAAAGAACTAGCGGCCTTCGAAAAGTCCTGACCTTATACGGTCTCCTTTCAGGGTCAAACGCGGGCTCAAATGACGGAGAACTCGATATCACCCAAAAATTACCGGCGGAAATGAAAGCTACAAGCATCAAAACATTCACGAGCGCAAGAGTTCTGAAAAAGTTCTGACTTTAAAAAGTCCTGACTTTCCAAAGTCATCCTTCGAGGTTAAACGCGGGCTCAAATGACGGGAAACTGAACATCACCTAAAAATTACAAGCCGATTTTAAATAAGCAAATGTTAGAATATTCACCGCAGAAAATAATGGCGCCCGCCAAAAAAGTCCTGATTTCTCAGGGCCTTCTTTGAAGATCAAACGCGGGCTAAAAAAAACACGGGAACTCAATATCACCCAAAAATTGCCGGCCGATTTCAAACTTGCAAACATCAGAATAGTCACCACAGAAAGAACCAGCGTCTTTCAAAAGATCCTGACCTTTCAAGGTCACGCTTCAAGATCAAACGCCAGCTCAAAGGACGGGGAACTCAACATCACACACAAATTGCGGGCCGATTTTGAACTTTCAAACTTAGAAATATGCACCACGAAAAAAAACAGCGTCCGTCAAAAATTCTTAACCTTTTAAGGCCACCGTTGAAGGTCAAACGCGGGCTCAAATGATGGGGAACTTGATATTACTCAAAAATTACCGGCCGATTTGACAACTGCAAGGATCAAAACATTCACAAGTGCAAGAGTCAGCGTGCGTTAAAATGTCCTAACTCTTCAGGTTCACCCTTAAAGGTCGAACGCGGGCTCAAAGGACGGGGAACTCAATATCATTGAAAAATTACCGCCCGATTTGACAATGGTAAATATCGGAATATTCAGCACAAAAAGAATGAAGGTCCGCCCAAAAATTCTGACCTTTCAAGATCACCTTTCAAGGTCAAACGCGGGCAGGATTTTTTGGCGGACGCCAGTTTTTCCTGTGGTGAATGATCTGATGTTCGCAAGTTTAAAATCGGACGGTAATTTTTGGATCATATTGCGCTCCCCGTCCCTTCAGCCCGTTTTTTACCTTAAAAGATCACCTTGAGACGTCAGGGCTATTTGACGGACGCTTGTTCTTTCTGTGGTGAATATTTTGCATTTTGCAAGTTTCAATTGTCCGGTAATTTTTGGATGATATCAAGTTCCCCGTCTTTTTTCCCAGCTTTTGACCCCGAGGGTCACATGATATTGCAAAATGAAGGTCAAACTCGATGTTTTCGTGCCATGATTGATGTGAAGACCTTTTTTCAGAGAAATCGGAACTCGTCGCTGAATAAATCGCTGAACAAATCGCTAATTTCACGGGCATCCGTGGTTGGTCTGCAGAGGGGCCCATTCTAGCCTGTAGAGCCCATTCCGCCATATCAAATACCTTTTCTGAACCGTGGAAGCCTTTTCCTGAGCTGTTCTGGTCATATGAATAATTATTGACCGCGGAGGGTCGATTTTGTCCTGCAGAGGGCCTATTCTAAACATGCGGAGCTCGTTCTGACCTGTGCCGGACTCATTATTGATTGTGAAGAGCCTATTTTAGCTTATATGGGATTTTGAAGTTATCCTTCTCGCCCACCAAACGTGAACGTAGTACCCGCGTCCCTGGACCTCTTACGTTTATCTCCGCACCAATTTCGGAGTGTGTCCTGCTGTGTGTTATCTTCAAGGCCATGTAATACGTAACAGTTATGTTTAGGTCGGGCATTCGGTTTTTGGCATTTTAGTCAGCGGCAGGGGATATGGTAGCGGGCGGTAAAGCTATTTTGTCCCATTTAGCCAATTTTTGCACAATTCACAAGATATTCTACTGCAGGCTGAATACTTCGCAGAAAGCACATAATTTGCAATTCACCTGCTGAAAAACCCTGCATGTTTAATATGGAGCTTTTTTGAAGTCAGTCAAAGTCCATATGTTCCGGAGAAAAGTTCCCGTCAATGGGTCAAGGAAATAATATTATTTGAACATGGCAGCGTTGTGCCGATGCGTCCTTTCCGTCTAAACAGCCAAGATGAGGTGGGTAATGATAACAAAGTGTGATTTCATCTGGCTAGTAATGCTATGTGCTGATGAAAGTACTGAAACCAATTTTATTTCAGAGTCGGGCTTTGCATATTCAGCGGGTTCAAGATATACCCAGGCCATGGGAAGACCGCCGTGAAGGCCGACGGCAAGGTGAGATCCTGGACGTATAAGATTGTCATTATTTTGGGCCGGTATTTGCTTGCTGATTTGTATTGTAGCTGCCTGGGATTCCACATGTAGCACAGCAACAGGTATTTAAGTTATAGGCAGGTGGTGCACCTAAGGAATGATTGCGGCTGGTGGCAGGCAGGCTGTTCTGGTGTCAGATGGTTCTGATGTCAGATGGTTCTGATGTCAGATGTCATACTTGAGAAAATTCTTGGGTTTCACTCCACTCCATGGTTTCTGCATGATATCTCACGGTCAGCCAGCCTTTCATATGTAGCTTGTTCTGTGGCTTAGAAAAGTTTCTGATAATAAAATTTTCTGGTATTTCATTTGTCTGTGATATCTGGAAAAGGAATGATGACCTTTAGTGATTGCATTGGCATATTAATACCCTTGGGCCATGGTGCTCCAGGATTTGAATCAGGCCTTGCATGTGGGAGTCTGACATATTTTCCACTTGACCATTACACATCATGTATTGATTGTGGAGCTCTCACACTATAACATAGGATAGGGACCTATGCTATAACTGATTTTTTTGCAAGGTTCACATACCACATGCTGGCTGCTACTTAGCTGTGTTTGTGATCACAGTAGGTTTTAATGCTTATCAAACTTTGTCCTGATAGCTGTTAACTTATCTTGCAGACCTACACCTTCATCCACAAGAAGGCTGAAAAGTCATTCAACATGAAGAGGAATCCTCGTGAAGTCACCTGGACTATCCTCTACAGGTATTGAAAACCATACCCAGATTTTGACCCAGAGTGTGCTACTGTGGGATGAATTTGTATGGTGGCATATTGTGAATGGTGTTGAATCAAACTTAGATGGATAGTGGGAGCAAATTTGGGTTTTTCCTGTTCTGGATTTGTTGAGTGGTCTAATCCTGAGGTGATTTCCCTGCAGTTATTGCATGGAAGGCTCATATTAATTGTTGAAAATTGTGGGGAGATGTTCAGTCACTCCTGCTATCACCCCCCCCCCCCCCCCCCCCCACATTCTCTAGTTTCTGCACCTCTGTGCGAGACTGATACGGTCTGTTTGGACCAATATGCTTGCTGGGCAGTATTGCCTTAGGGAAGAAGCATTCCATATCACCATTTATGTACCTGTCTGTTTCTTGTGGTGCTTATTGGTGCAGTGGTTACCTTAGACATTGGACATTGGGGAGGAGGAACAGAGAGTGATCTTCAGGTCAGAAGTGGTGCTTTGGAGAGAAATACTAGTAGTTTTAGGGTCATACCTTGTGAAAGTCAGTATCATTGTTGTCCTAGAGGCCACAGCAGCCCTAGGGGGATCACGGTCAGCTGGCCTTTCACCCTCCTTTCATCCCCTCTCCCATGCAACCTGCAGACATGGCTCATGCTTATCCTGTCTGTGCCATTTGGGTGATCAGTGTCATCAAAGTGCCAGAAAGAATCATTATTGTCTCAATTAAGATCATTTCTCTCCATGTCAATCTGTGAATGTTGCAAGAGTATGGACCAACTTGGAAACATGTTTAGCCATCTTGCATCCCTTGCTAACACATTGTCATGCAATTTGTGGTGGTTGCTTGTAAATATTTGGGTGTCACAATGTTGTGGTGCTCAGTACTGGATGTGAGGTGTTGGTTGTTCAACATTTCACATCAGTGTTGCAATTTTCAAGGCGTAAGAACAAGAAGGGTCAGGATGAGGAGACAGTCAAGAAACGCTCCCGCCGCACCCACAAGTTCCAGCGGGCCATTGTTGGTGCCTCTTTGTCTGACATCATGGCAAAGAGGAACATGAAGCCTGAAGTCAGGAAGGCCCAGCGGGAGCAGGCTATCAGGTGGATATCATGCTCTGGTTCCACTCTCTTCATGCTTAGTGGCATGGTCTGAGATAAATTACTGTATTTATATTAGCATCCATCCACATGTAGCTTGTTTTCCTGCTGTCTGGGGGGCATACATGCTGTTTTTTCTTGAACCCTTCATGGTTCTGTTGGTTTTGAGTGAAAGCTGCTTGCCAGGATGTAGCAATGGTGGAGGCAGGCATGTCCTTCAAGCTAAAAATCATGGTGGGTGAAGAAAATAAAATGATGGAGTGTTTGTAATTTTGTAAGCCACAGTGTTTGCCTATATAATTTGTAAGTTTTTTAATGTGTGGCTGTCATTGGTGGCTGGTAAGTGGTAGGCCACGTTGCAGGATTTTAAATGGTTGTTTGCGAGGCTGTTTGCATCTGGCAAGCAAGGCTCTAATGTCTTGTGATTTTCAGGGCTGCCAAGGAGAAGAACAGGGCCACAAAAAGCGCCAAGGCAAAGACGGCCACACAGAGCAAGGTATGTCTTAAAGCCTAGCGGCCCCCTGGGGTGTTGCTTGTGGCTTATGGTAAGCAATTGTTTCGTCCCTGGTGAACCACGAGTTCATTCACAAGACAGACTCATGCAGCTTGTTAAATTTGATATATTTAACCTGTATGAAGAGACAGATGCCAAGGCCACTTAAACTGATAGAAAATTGTGTGGTAAAGAGGCCTGAGTAAGCCCAGGTTCTTTGCATGTTTTGACCTCAAGATGTTTCATGAAATCCCTTAGTTGCAAATGTGGTAACAGGAAGGGCCAGGTGCCTGGAAATGGCTATCTCTGCCAGATTTAATGTAATTTCTTGGTTGGGAGGGTTATGACATTTTTTTGTTACAAGCTTCTTTGGCAATGTTTGGACATTGTATGATGAGTTTCAGAGACATGCCTCTGAAATTCCCAGACTGCACCATATTGCAATTAGTATTTTGCATCTATTGAGAATTGAGGTCAAAATGCAATGTTGTGAATTTAACTTGGACATGTGACATGCCTTCTGAAACCCCTGCTTTCTTGATTATGTTGTGTAAGCTCTTGGTCCCGCCATTCCTGTTTGCAAAGAAATCATGGGTGCGGACATGCCTGTGGTCAAATGGAGTTTCCCAGGATTGTACCCAGGTCATCTCTGTCACAGTTCAGATGACTTTCAAACACCGATTGTACATAACTGTAAAACTCCAAGGGCTACTGAGTGGACGGGCATGACGTGGTCCGGTTACTGGCACAACAAACGTTAACTCCGTACCCTGTGTTGAGTTGATGAAATTCCAAATGAGTAGGAGTGGTGGGAAGAGGGGTGTTGGCTTTCATTTGTGATGGATGGATCCGTCTTTGCATTACCTGCAATGTGGGCAAGTGTGGTGATGTAGTCCGCTGTTGGACTTTCCCGAACGATCGGCTAACTATATCTGCCCCGACATGCTTGTTCAAAATGGGCCTCTTGATCGTGTCGGCGGCCATAGATAATTCTTCCTTTTGTCCGACCCTGGTTGCTTCATGACTTAGAAAGGTATGGGGCCGGCCAAATGCTTATCAGTTCAATTTGGTTCAGTTCATGGCTATCGTGGTCCGAGAAGGCAGCGTCTGTGAATGACGGGCCGCACCAAATATCTAGTGGTGATAAGGATTCATATTATTCATGCGGTGAACGCCATGTGGTGTACCATTGTGTACATGCGGTGGACGCCATGCGCACGTAGTTTTTGCAAAATCGGAGGCGTGTTGGCCGAGTGGATAGCCCCTGAAGGGGTTTGGCTCGAATCCTAGTTATGGCGTGGTCCGTGAGAGCTGGTGTGAATAATGCTGTCGGTACTCCATAAAGGGGACCATAACGGCACAGGTTATTGCGATTGAGCGAATGTTGAAAATTGCGCAAACGGATACGTCATGTGTTGAGGCGAGCTTACTGCCATGTGTCGGTGTTGGTATTTGTATCATTCAAGGCCACTTGCAGGCCTTCAGACCCGGAAATAATTGTTAGTGGCCCTTTTTTGTTTGCTGTGGGCGCACTTAACACGCGCTCGGGTGGAGGGTCAAATTACCCCCCCCCCCCCCCCCCGAAAGCTTTTCCAGAATGGTGTCCGAACGGCACGGCGTGGCCGCGCCAAATTCTGCATAGCTGTAGACAATTGAAGAGCGGATCATTTGGCATCAAAAATTGAGATGCACCTTGTAAGGTCGCTGACCTTTAGCAGGTCAGTCAGGCCATGGTTTCAGCGAAGGCAATTTCCAGGGAATCGTTCAGTCCGATCCAACGAGGGCGTGTTGACGAAGCCATACATCTCTGAAATGCTTTTTTAGGCAACACAACAGTTGAATGAGCAAATTTCATTGGCCTAAGGTCAGGTATGAAGGTCACACCAAGGTCAAACCCAATCTGTTTTGTTACTCTGGGGGTTGCTGTATGGGATAGTTTGTGGTGCTCATTTCAAATTTCTTGATAGCAGGAAATTATTATGCATCTTCTATGGGCTTTTCAGAGATCAGAATAGGTCATTGACCTGAAATAACCCAGGCCAGCATTTTGTTTTAGGAGTGTACTGCCTAGCTTCTCTTTGTCGCTTAGTCAAATGCAAAACTCAAAGCAATCTTGTGTGATTTTGGTCACCTTGACCTTCAAAGTTCAATCAAGGTGACTGACCTTGAATAAGCATGTGACCTTTTGCTTAGAAGCGGTTATCCAGGTTTAGGGGCGCTTCGGAGACCAACCTGGACCTTGAACTTGTTTGACCTTTTTTGACCCGGAGGTCATAACCTAGGAACTTGAAAGTTTAATCAAGTGAGTTTACGTACAGGTCAACACACGCTGTAAATTTGGTGTCCCTAGCTTTCTTAGTTCCCGAGATCTCAGAGGGGTCAAATTGATCCCCCCACCCGAGCGAAGGGTATCTAGGTCACCCAGGTGCGTGTTAAGGCAAGCTAGCGCTATAAGATCGTTGTTTGACCTCGTAAGATGCGACCTGACAGGTCAGCCTTCACAGATACCACGAAATTACTTCAGGAAAAGCCACGTGACAGTTGCAGGATTCCGGCCCTGCCTCTCATGCATGTCCATTGTGTGATATCTCAGCAGTTTAATAGAATATACATGCATGTTCATTTTGTGATATCTCAGCAGTTCAATAGAAGATAAGGACAGAGGAAGCAACTTCCTGAGCCGTCGACTACAGCCGAATGTTCGCGTAGACGATTGTTAGCTGTATTTTCAGTCCTTAAAGTTCGCCTGAAATTGCTAAGCTGGGTGTTGAGAGTAGGTCAGAGTGGAATGAAGCCATCCGGCACCAGGCCTGAGTCTCGTCCGTGCTCCTGCTCTGTCTGCTTTTACTGGCACCGGTGTCATCGGTTATGGGGAATAAAGCAAATTGTTCGTTTTTACGAGGTTTCACGATATTGCAAGTGAAATCGCGGGAAGCACGCGGATGTCCGTGTGACGCTATCGGGGCATCTGATGCCGCCGGCTTACATCACCAGATAGTGTGGAACCTTTTGCCGTTGTGTCCTAAATCTGACTTCTGTAGTTGCCTCGTGATGTGGACGTTGTCGGTGGATGCAGTTGAATGTAGTCAGCTATTGGATTGCGGTGGAAGCAACATGCCCAAAGAAGCAACATGATTTCACGTTGCTGACGTGAGCGTCATTTGATCATTGAAGTTGGCGCACCCCCAAACCCAAGTCATCATCAAGATGTGGCCGGTGTATCCGACAGAAGCCGAACGGCATTGGGCGAAGCATGTCCTATCCCAATGGTCGTGTCGACGTACAGTCATCGGACCCACCCCTCTATTATTTGTCATACGTTTTCCGCGTTGGTTCCTGCGTTCTGGAGGACAGCGCCGCAGATAGATTTGTTGGTCATCTCTTTGGTTGAAGCCCGTTGGCACACATATGCTTCAGACATTGTTCGTCGTGTATGTCTTGTGTCGTTACTTGAGCGTTGTGGTGACCGAATGTACATCTTTTGAGGGCACTTTCTCGACATCCATATGTAATCCCGCTGCGCTTTTCAGGCGAAGCAGCCCAAGCAGAAGATGAAGGTGCCCAAGGCGAAGGCGATGCCCAAGCAGGCCCCGCGTGTGGGCGGCAAGAGATAAGGCCGGCTCGCTTTCACGTATAATTTCCAACCGCTGCAAAAATACACGCAAACAAATAACCGACTGTTTTAAATGTCGTCCTGCGTCGTGAAGAGGGGGCGCAGGGGGTGATGGCTGTCCGACGCGACTGCCACTCCTGGTCTTTGCCGCCTCCGCGCATCCATGATTCAGCGAGTCCTCATCAGCGACGCCACCCGCATTATAGCCGGACACTAGAGGCTGTTCGCCGTCTGCCAGGCCCCCTGTCTCCGGCGAGCGCAGGGGGCGCGCAGGTCGTCTGTGGGGACTGCGGCGGTGGCGCGGCCGCTCGGCCCTGCCCGGCTTCTCCGGTATAGCGCGCTGGCATGGCTGCTACGGGGATCCGCCGGCGATGCTGCGGTCTCTGTTCAAAAGTGACTGAGAGTCGGCGGAGGTGTTGCTGCTCGTAGACACGGTTTCCTTTTCGAACGCAATGCGAAGTTTTGCAGTTACGCCATGCATTACTTCAGTGGCGTTTGGTGTTGGCAAGTGAAGGACAGGGCGGGCAGTTGGCACGCGCTAAACGCCCTAGGCTGGGCAGGTAGTCGCACAGAAAACAGTGCGGCTAATGAAGCTGCGCACGACGTCGCTGAGGTGGTTAATTGGAAAGTTAGCTAGTTGTGTAAGGTATGCGAAATTTCGTAAAATATAACATGACCGATTTATATCGAGCATGCATGATCATGCTTATTGAAAGCATAGTTCTACTCGCCGTTTTCCATATGTTGCATAGCCTGGGCACGTTCTGTCCCAGGGAACTGATGCTCTCCCACCTGCAAATTACACCAAGAGTGAACGAACCGGTCGGTTTCGCGCAGCGAAAGCGGCAGCTCTGCATAGCGCTTGCGCGGGAGTTGTTGGGTCGATGCAGGTGGCGTCCCGCGCGTGTGCGATTTGCGTATGGGGGACATCTGTCGGCGTTGGAGGCGAGCGAAATTCGGATACTTCCGATAGATGGCCCTCAGCTACTACCTCAGAATACCTCGCGGCTTATTACTGCAGCGCTCACCGGGCTATCGCCGGGTCTTGCCGCCCTCGCCTGTCGTGCTCTCATTGGGGTCGGTATCGAAACCCCTAATGTTTGTAACCACTAATGTATCGCAACGCCTAATGCATCAAAACCGCTAGTGCTTCATAACGCCTAATGTACGTAACTCCTAATGAGTCATAACCCCTAAGGTATCGTATCTCCTAATGTATCACAACACCCAATGTATCGCAATTCCTAACGCATCGTAACTCCCAATGTGTCATAAGGCCTAGCGTATTGTAATCCCTGATGCTCGCAGCCTTTAATGTAACACAACTCCTAATATATCGTATTTCCTAATGTATCATAACACCTAGTGTATCACAACACCTAAGGTGTCGTAAGACCCAACGTATCGTAATTCCTAACTATCGTAACCTCTAATGTAACACAACTCCTAATACATCATAACACCTAATGTATCGTAAGGCCTAGTGTATCATAACCCCTAATGTTCGTAACTCCTAAATCAGCTGACTGCAGTGGGTTTGTCGCACACGATTCTGACCCGCACAGCTGGGCGACGTGCAATCTACTAAAGTCTTCCGAACATCATCGTGTTGCCATCTCTCGGCGAGTGCTAGGGTGGTACCGTACATTGGAACATTCTCGCACAGCATGACCGCCCGAATATACAGTAATGGCGGGTCCGATCGGTCAAATAGAACCGTAAAACCATCGCCGGCTCTCAAGCAGGGTAATCAACGCGCACAGCGGCCGTGGTTTCGTAAAGTGAATTGGAAGGAGGGGGCCGACAGCAAAAACTGACTCAACCTACCACGAAAAAACACCAACAAAAGATTTTTTCTCTGGATTTGGACCTCTCTTCTCCAAGTTCGTCGTGGATTGAACCCAAGCGGTTGGGAGGGGGCTGAACTCAGTGAAATCCCGTATCGGAAGTTGCAGTCGTATTTCCGTAACAATACGAGGGAGGAACTTGCCCTATGTCGACAACGCATATGACACACATACGTTACGCATCGCCATAGCACTGGCTGGCGACAGACCGCCTTGCGGTCGATGCTGTGACCCATTGACTGCGCACCACCTGCTTGCCGCTTGCCGCCAACTTTCTGCAACGCAAGTGCGGATTGTCGGACACCATGTCCAGAGTCGCCCATTGCACAAAACATACACTCTTCTATTGTCAAGCCCAATGCAGTAATCACCAAACCATTCAACGAATGCCATGCGTTGCCGTTGTTGCAGTCGTGTGCGCGGTGTTTCGTGCCGTCGTCGCAGTCTCTCCAGCGCAAACCATTTTCCTGATACCTATTTCGGTTTGTCGTGGCAGACACCGTAGCGCGGTGTGCTGCGCAGAATGGCCCCTGAAAATGGCGATATTTGGTTCCTCAGATTACTGCTCCACAACGTGTGCGACGATCATTTTTCATGTAAACAGAGTTTAATACTGAAAATAACTGATTTTATGTTAAGTGATTTGCTGAGGTTGATAATAACGAACGCAGCTATGCCGAATAGCAGCGCAGAAATGCGCTACACACGCACTTTCTCTTGGTACTTGTATGGGAAACGTTTACGTGAGGCCTCTTGCATGGAGTGCTTGCCTGAAAGCAGACTTGACTTAGTCTTCATACGATCACAATAACGACATCAAACCATTAATGGTGCCATTTATGAGTGTAATCAATCAGAACGTTTATATTTCGTGAGAAAAAGTCCGCCCGGGTGGCTCAGTTGGTTAAAGGCCCGCCTTTCTCTCCACCCACCCCCGGCAGGGTGGGTTCGTGTCGCTCTAGGCTGCTATATGCCCTTGACAAGTATGGCTTGCGGGCGGTGGCAGCGGTTGCGTTAAAGGTCAGTTGACGTCAGAGGGCAGGACGGACCGTGCCGAACATTGCGGCACGTTAAGATTTTGGCACTAAATTCTGTCGTCTGGAATTGCACGATCGGGTGGCGGGGTCAGGGCTCACACAACAAGCACTGCTTAGCGTGAGCGCTGATCCCAGAAATCCACCCACTCAAAGGGTTCGTATCAAATTCGTAAAAAAGAAATGAAGCGTTGTAGTTTATTTCACCAGGACGATGCTAACAAGCTTATCATTGTCATGATCAGACAGACTTGAGCATAGTAGCTGTCATCGGTCGATGTGAGAATACGATATTATCTCAATAGTAATTTCTTGTTCCAAAGCGGTTAGTTTCCGATTCACTTCACTCATAAAAGGGTGAGTATGGGTCGTTTTAGACACTCGCTGTTTGCCCCCGAAATGGATGGATTGTGAGTGATGGCAACGAAAGCAGTCAAGGATGAATAGGTGTGCTTAATAGAAATATATGCAATAAAGAATAAAACAGCACATTCCTGGCAAACACTGCCAGCCCAGTTTGAAAAAAGATTGCTGTCATTTCCTTTTTATGACAGAATTCGAAAACTTGGTTTGCTCCTGTTGCCTGCGAGAGTGCCCAAAGAAATAAAGTAGTTTGTCTTTGCCATGTCCATCGTATGAAATTGCCAATAATCGTGGCAAGGAAATCATCGCCGTAGATTTTAGCAGAATTGTTCGTGAAGCACGAACTGAACATTACGAGCCCATGTGGTACAATGCCTACTTTCCTAAAAATGATGATTCTGGAGCAGCACCAGACGACTGACAGAAGCCTCTGATTGCTGTGCCAGCTTGCTGGCAGACATAATGCTTCCGGACGGCCAACAGCACTCCTCAAACAGCCATCCAGAGCAGAGTAGCTGCGTTCTCAGCAGAAGCTCATCAGTTCAACAGCAGAGCACCTCCCCAGCTAACAAAGGGCTGAAGTTGATGTCCATCCCGCTGCCATCAATATCCGCAACAGCGAGCTTCATCCTGTCAGAGAAAATACGCAAAAAGGGCCGCAGGCTGAAAACACCAACAACGCATCGTTCGCATATTGCAAGCAAGTACATCCGAAGAAACAGTCGAGAGATATCGCAAATGTATTGCTGCACAAGAAAAAAGTCACGCAGGCCCAGGACATCGTCTAAAGCCTTTTCAATGAGGGGAGGGAGACTTCTTACCCATACATAAATGAGCCTTATATGACACTGTACACAATGACTGGAATCGACTTTTTTAATTGAGGTTAATTTTACTCTAGGAGGGGTTTCCACGTCACTAAGTGACCAAGGATGCGCAATATTGGAGGGATTTTCGCCCTCCAAGCAACATGGCGCTGCCCTGCGAGTGGACCGGTCGTATAAAAAAACAACAAATCAATAAAAGAGAGTCCTGCCACACGACAGCACAATGCACGAAACAGAAATGATATTGCACAATGCACACTCACCGATGCGCCCAGCACGCTCACAAAAACACTTCCAGGAGCCGTCCTTCCCTTGCGCCAACTTGTCTGGGCGGGGGAGGGGCGGGGGGAGGGGGCAGCCACCCCTCCGCAACGGGACGGGTCAAACAACCCCCGGCCGCCAGCCGCCAGCATAACAACCGGGACGCCGGGGTGGGGACGATATGATCAAGCAAAGGCGAGGGAACGATCGCGTTATTGGGGGGTGGGGGGGCCTCGGCGGATAGAGTCCACCTCCCAACAACTGAGATAATTCAGCACTAGGCTTGCGGCGGTACATGGAAAGAAACGACTCAAATGCCTCTGACCTCCTCTCCCATTCTTGACAACTTCCCTCGCTCCTGCGACCAAGAAGGGGCACGGGGTAGGTCAGCGTTGGTAGAAGCGAGGGCAAGTTCCGGTGGCGTCAGGCACGGCGGGATGCCATCGATGGGAAGGCGGGTCTGGACAGGTTGACTGCCGGCGTCGCCGGTGTGGCGTCAGCGAGCGGCGCCGTCTGCTACTTCCTTGGTTCGTGCAAGGAGCATCCCTTGTTCATGAGGGAGTCCCAATGCTCAGCAGCATGCATACAAAGAGCAGTGCCGCCCAGCTCCAGGTTGAAATCACACCTTAATTGCAGCAATTTCGAATCAAGCCACAACAGTACGAACTAGCAGGCACTGACCGCCAGTCGTATGCTGCTGTTGCAGGCAACACTAGCGTTGAAAACCT